AATTCAATGACGAAATTGCTCTCCAATGCCTAAGATTGTCGCTCTCACTCTGAAAAAATTCAGGTCATTTTCACTGCCCCATATCTATCGTGTGAATTTCTTTAACCTTTACAGGAACCAGATCGTCCGGCGATCAAAGAAGAAGAGGTGAAATTTGAGCACGAGGATCGTTGCGACACAGCTGGCCGTGATGGAGGAGCTGCTCCGGCAAAACGCGGCCGTCCCACAGAAAATCCTTGTTGGGGATATTTTATTCGTCTAGACGATCAGAATGTCCGATGTCGTCTGTGCAACAAGGTACTTTCAATTTCGCTCTCAGTCAGAGTCACCTGCGCTTTCTGGGCCCTCTGGTGTCAGCTCCCTCTCGCCTGTCATACTGTAGGTGCATGGGAAGAGAAAGAAGAGGGCTGCGAGCGGGGCGCTCTCACGCGCCCTCCGATATCCAATCCGGAGCTCTCGGCTACGGCGTTGTTGAGATTTGCACGGTATCGAAATGTGACTGAAAAGCGTGAACTATCGATCGGCCATAACGTTCAATGTAATTATACAATTTGACTACTATGATATCAATTTGTGGGAGGTGTTCGCTTTTTTTCCCAAAAATCTGTCGTAGATGTGAACGATCGGTCCAAAACCCCCGAGGACCGTGCTGAAGGTACTCCGGCTTGTAGAAAAAATCATTTTATTGCTATAAAATACCATATTAGAGAAAGTATGCCTCCTCTTCGAAAGTCGTGAGTCATAAACGGATTTTGATGAACGTCTTGGCGCCGTTTTGAAGGCGACACTATTGAAGATTAATCGCCTTGATGATGGTGGCGACTCTAAAACGCTTAAACCTGCGCGCTATTCTCGGAATGCCTATAAAATGGTAAGGGGGGGGGGAGCTGACCAAGCAGTAGATCTTCTATTTATGCGAGATGTGGTGTCCTCACTAGTGCTGACAAGGGAGGTCGTTCAGGGTGTGCCAAGCTTTTTCAAAATGGTTTCTTGCATGACATTGGGGCACATATGGGGACCACAGAAGCATGGTTCATTTTTCCTGAACGGCCCTCTGAATACCAGAAAAGGGGTCCCTAGTTCGATTCCTCGTGGTGACAAATTTTTGCATTTCGAGTTGACGTTTCAAAATTCGCGCAAAATGGAGTTAGCATGAATAATTAGTACCATATTCATGATTAGGACCGTCAGTAACCCTTACAAATAGACTTTGATTGAAAAACTGGTGAAAAAGGTGTGACTAGGGACCCCCTTTTCTGGTATTCAGAGGGCCGTTCAGGAAAAACCATGGTTCTGTGGTTCCCGCATGTGCCCCTATATCATGCAAAAGACCGTTTTGAAAAAGCTTGGCACACCCTGAAAGACCTTCCTTGTTAGTTACTGCGTCGCACTGATATGTGCATGATCAATAAAAACTCGAGCCTGGAAAATGTGGGATCCCATTATGCAAAGGGAAAACGCCTCGTTTCACACAACTATCATCTGAGAAAAACGCACCGTAGTAACGTCTCAAGAACCCTAAAGAAATATCTGATGTATCATACGACATTAAGCCTCAAACGACGCGATTGGAGAGATGACTGTGATCGTGCCAATGGAGTACATTTCCTGAGTTGTACTCGCGTTATAACCTCATAATTTGATTGGGGAAGGGCTCAGGCTTCTAAGACATGCACTTCTATCAATTACACGGTGCGCTTCTATTGAAAATTCCTTCGGCTTTTTTTGACTACTGATCTCGATTCCACCCCCCATCCTCCCCCCCCCGCTCTCCACTGCCGTCTAGATCACGATACATCGGGTGATGGTCTCTGTCCATTCCTGAACCAATAGATTCTGGTCTACTCCCTTGCGCGATAGCCGTTTCAGCACCGTGTGGCACAGCATGCCCTCAGTACCGTTTCACAGGATTTTTTCATTCAGTCCAACTATCTCTTGATTATTTCTTTCCTCATCATCTCCTTAAGTCATATTTTCAAATAATCAGCTTTATGATCATTTGTTGACTGCGTTCTACTCTCCCTCGTCGACCTCCACTCTCCCTCTTGGATGCGACCTTTTAGCCATACAGAGTTAAAAGTGGGTAGTTTTGGTGAACTTTGTCGCTCGTTCGCATGATGAGCCGAGCGCGAGGAGCGGCGTGTCCGGTTGAGTTGATTTCGTTCATTAGGACACGACCTTCGGTGTTATCTGAAACAGTTCAGGTGACCTATAAAATGAAATCGCCGCTGTCGCCATCGCTTCGTTTCTGTACTCATTTAGGGGATTTTTTAGAACGAAAAAAACTGAAAGCGAAAGTCAACCATGTGCTAAGCGTGTACAGTAAAATCATATGATGACAGTAAGTTTGTTCAGGCGATCCGGTGCTTTGAGCGCGAACGTCGTCCTGGACGAAAGCAACGAAAGTGAAGGATATGGGTAAATTTGGGGTAACTTTGAATTGTGAAAATTGACACATACTCACCTTGCTAGTACATAGGCCATCCAAAGGGTGGTAGAAAAAGTAGTACTCTGCGATGCCCTGCTGATTGTCGTTGACGTCAGAAGGCTTCTTTGGAAAGCGGAAGTTGTGGCGACGTCAGGGCATACTTTTTGACACCTCAGAGATCAATTAGCTCACCGGTATCCTTCTTTCAATGTGACCTTGTGTAGCGCTCAGGGAAGAGTATTCAACTGATTTCAGATTCTATCACAAGGGACAGGACAACATTGTTGCCACAATCTTGTCCAGCTATATTTCCAGGCCTCATGACTCATTGAAAATAAAAGGGTGAGGACGTTTGGTGTTGTCGATCTCTCTCAAGATGCGCCACGCACCCACCACTTATAAACGCATTGGCATGTAATTGCAACTTGTCCTGTACAAGCCTTCGGGGCAAGTCCATGTGCAATCGTTGTTCCAAAGTGGGTCTGATATACATGACCTGACCACCTAGGAAATGAGGGCCGGTTGCGCGAGAGAAATCGGGGCCGGGATACGAACCTGAGGCCGTGAGTGCGAAAAGTCTCTTTCCACTGCAGTATCTTCACCCTCTATGTAGCAAGCTCATATAACACATGGTAGCCTGTTTAGCCGTCATATTATTGGGATGTATGATGAAATGATCGGAATAAATGATCCTTCCTTTCCTGTTATTCACGACAAGTGACAGACTTTGTTAAGTGGATGAAATTTCAGGTTGTTAAGTCGGCTTGCGCAACAAATATGACGAAGCATCTGGAGCGTCATCATCAACAAGACTACCAGCAGCTCATCGTGCAAATCAAGCAATACCGGTAAGTCCTTCCCACCTTGTGGCAATACAGATGTGACCGTATACCGTACCTTGTAGACAACAAAAAGGCCCTGTCTCTAGTGGCGTTTCGTCGCCGGAAGCCCATCAACAATCGTGTATTCTCTCCACCAATCAATACGTGAAAACGGAAAACTATGCTCAGCAACTATATTCTCAGTTCGAGAGGGAGGACGTACTGCGGAACTGTACCGCGTACGATCGGCACGTACGTAACCTTTTTACTGCATTTCAATTGCTAAAGGCCTGGTACTGCAACTGCAAACTCTGAGGATTCCAAATATGTATTTCAAGAGCACGTTCAAAGAGAGGAAATTTAAGGATCCGTCACTCACATGGCAAAGAAATCAATGGAACCAGTGGCCAAATAGTCACGATCCTACCACCTCAGGCATTGATATGACAGGAGGTTTGCGATTTTAAAACATTCAAGTGAACTTAGTGAAGATGTTCTCCGCTCGTTCGCCAGTACAGTTCACAGGATAACAGGTATTGCGAGTGTGACGATAAATTGGGTTCCGAAGCTGCTTCACAAATTCAAGCGATTTTCTCTAGCAACGCTGAATCTTGTGATAAATGTGGAAGCTGATTCGAGCTTCTCCAGCAAGAAAGCTATTTCATGCGTTACGGTGCACATTCTGGAAAACAAAAAGCGAGAAAGGACTAATAAGAACTAATTACTGTTTCTTTGAGAGTGGGTAGGTGCATAAGGAAATCTCTGGGGATCATCACAACCGAGATGAAGGCCACTTACTAGGGAAGGATGAAGGGTCGAAGTGGCCATATGAAATGAGACAAGTATCATGGTATGTGGTTTCGGACGCTGATCTCGAATCTTCTTCCCAAATCTGCCAAACGATTCGCTGAACGGAGTTACGGAGGTTTTTTGTTCCCTCACACAGTTTAACACAGTGAGAAATCGGCCTCAGCAGCAGCGGCTTGTGAACGAAGCAGTGAGCCTCTCGATCGGTGTGTGGCCTAGTGGGTAAGGCGGTGGGCTTGGGATTTCGGGGTCAGTGGTTCGGATCCGCCGCGTGTTTTCGCTTTCG